GCCCTCCCCCTCCTGGCAAATCAGCAGCTCTGTCCCCAGAGCCAGCCTAGTCTCGTTGCCCCATCCATTCTGCAGACGGCCATTGGATGCTGAGGTGAATGAGACACAAACCCCTCACCCCCAGGAGGTCCCAGTGCCTGGGAGCTGTCTTGCAGGAGGCACACACCTGAGAGCCAGGCACAGCTGGATGAAGACCCGTCCAAGGAGCACCACCTCCCTGCTCCTCCCTGGCGCGGAGGGCCAGGGCTGTGGGCAGGGACTTGCGGGAGGCTGCTGCCTGGGGGTCTGGATGGGGTCTGCAGCCCCAAGCTCACCAGCCCCTCCCCGCAGTCCGCTTCCCAACCGAGGGTGGCCCCTCACGTGCGCCCCCTTGTGGCATCCCTGTTCTCCTGCCCACAGTCCGGCAGCCCTCGGACCTGGCAGAGACCAGCTGAAGCACGCGGGGCCTTGGGACACCCTCTCATCCTTCGTTCCTCCCCAACACAGCTTAACTGTTTTGCGCAAGGAGAGTCTTTATTCAAAATGATGGGGGATGTCTTACAAAGTGGAGAATGCCGGGAAGGTAGGGTGTGCAAGCACCCCAAGAGCTGGGAAATAGGGGTCCTCTTGCATAGGGTTCAGGGCTGGGTGAGGGCCCTCTGGGTCAGGGGGTGTCCAGGCCTGGGGAGCAGAGGAACTGAGCTCCAGGTGGATTACCAGCTTTTCGTCCTGACAGGTCAGGGGCATGAGCATTCTGCTCACCTTGTAGGAGGCACAGAGCGGGAGCGAGGGGTCTTGCCCTGGGTGAACAACGGGGCGCCCTTGAGTCCATCACACATGGGGGAAGAGTCCCATGGAGAGGGGGTTCTCTGCAGAAAGCATTTTCCAGAACACCAAAGGCGGGGGGATGGTTCTTAGTGTCGCTGTTTCCAGGGGTCCAGCCTGAGCTTCTGTTGAAGACAAATGGTGTTTATGTGTCACTGACAGAGAGGGTCACGGGTCGTGGATCTCGGGGGTGAAGCAGGGCCTCAGGGCGGTCTGCTGGGGACGAGGGCTGGCCTTGCTCCTGTAGCATCAATCAGCCCGGAGGCTGGCAAAGGTCAGGGGTCTGCGTGTCAGGGATTTTGAAGAGGGAGGCCTGGAATAAAGAACAGTGTGTGTGACAGGTGACCTGGACCACCAGGAGCCCAGGGAGTGGGGAGCTCCCAGGTGCGCAGCCCTGAGATGTGGGTGCCCCTGAAGCATGGTGCAGGGTGGGTCACCCCGCGTAAGGCTCCCTTCTTCTGCACGGCTGCTTCTGGCGCACTGAGGGCTCTGGGAGTCGGAGCCCAAGTGGACGTCTGCGCATCTCCGCTCACGCCAGCCGACCAGGTGGTTCCCACTCCAGGTGGCCTGTCTGCCAGGCCAGCCGGGTGTGGACAGGAAGCCCGGGGCGCGGCCCACCTGGCTCCATCTGTCCGACTCTGGGCAGGGCCCCACGTGTGGGCTGTCACCGGCTCCTGGTGGTGTTCTGAGAACTGCTTCCTGCAGAAACCTCCTGTGGAGGGCGGGGGGCGGGGAGGGGTCAGGCCCTGGCGGGGAACGTTTGTAAAGCCGGCTGGCAGCAAGCTGGGAAACTGCCTTGGCCACTGCATCTTTCAGGGAGGCCTCCCCCGAAGTCCAGAACGTGAGCCAGACTGGGGACACTGTGTTCCGTCCCAGGTTATTGGGGTCAGTGCTATGCCAGACGGGGACGAGTCAGCTCAGCCGCCATGCAGTGTGGTGGCTGCCCCTCCCCTGGCAGGGGGCCTGAGAGTCCCAGGCCCCTGGGAGGGTACTGGGCTCGGGTCCCCGGCTCCACAACTCCCCTCCTTGCCCGGTCCTTTGCTGAGTGTGGCTGTGCCCCTAGGCCAACCGTGGCCCGCAGCCGCCCCTGCCCGTGGGAAGAGATAGAGTCCATGAATCCTGCCCGTTTGGGCAGTTGTATCGTGTGACCCCCCTGTGTACTGACGCCCAGGTGTCGTGACTGCTGGGGTGCCCTGCAGTGGTGAGGTGTGGCTGGGTAGTGACCTGGGGTAGGCCAGCCCAAACTTGGGTGTGATTGCTGGCTCCAACATTGATCAGTCACATGCCCTTGGGAGAGACCCTTAACCTCTTGGTGATTTGATTTCCCTGTCTGCAAAGTGGGGGTACTGGCAGGTATGCTCACATATAGCATGGGGAGACTGAGTCACCTTAGGCTCCTAAGAGTCCCAGAGTCCAGGTGTACCCAGGACCAGGCTCAGGGCCCCCAGATGAGCCTCCTGTGAGAGGCCTCGGTGACCAAGCTGAAGGTTGGGCGTGGCTTTCATGTGCCCAGCCTCTGACAGGGTTGGAGCAGAAACCTGGAAATCTGGGCAGGGAGGCAGTGTGACTGAGGCTCTGCTGAGCCTGCAGCCTTTATCTCATGACCTTGACATCTCAACTTTAGGGTGGAGCCAAGGCTTGGCCTCCCCAGCCGGAGGCCTCACCCAGAAGCTGTGGTGACGGGGATCCCAGAAATGGGCCCAGGCCCAGGGCCACCCAGCACCCACCCATCTGCTGCCGTCCTCCAGAGCCGAGACCCACAGGCTCGCCTGTGGGCCGCCACCTTCCCAGCCACTGGCTCTGTTTCTGCAGAGTGGCCGTCTGCCCTGCACCGTGGTTAAGCCCATAATTGAATTGCAATTGATAGTACACGTAGGTTTAAGAGCATGCTAATTGCTTCATTTCCCAGAACACTCCTAAAAAGAAAATGAATTTCCCCGTAATATTTTGCAGTGGGTGAAATGACCCTTGTGGAAATTGATCCAGGTTCCAGAATGAGCTGCAGAGTGGGAGGGCCTGGGGTGGGGTTCACACCCCCGCCCCTCCTGCCCCCTCCCTCACTGGCATGAAGGAATCTTCCCTGACTTGGGCTCAGCCCTGGCCACATGCCAGGCACCCAGGGAGGAAGCTTTGGTTTTGCTCATGTGATAGATGAGGAAATTTGTCCCCAAGGTGAACAGTCTTGCCCAGGGTCACCTGGCTGGCCAGTGGAGGAGCTGTCCCCTGCAAAGTGGCATTCAAGAAAAGGGTGGCCTTGAAGCCAGTGGGCACAGGTGCCAGTCCCAGCCCTCCCTCTCTCTGGGAGGCCCTGGAGGTCATGGACCCCCTTGAGTGTCCACAACCTTTACTGTCAGATGGGTGTTGTGACCTGGCCTCAGGGGTGCTGCCAAGTACGAAGGTGCTGTGTGACATGCCCCCAGCATTGCTCCAGGCGTGTGGCCTGTGAATAATATGGCCACGTCCCTCACAAGCATCACTGCTGCTTTGCTGGCAAATGGAGATAAGACATTTGGACAACATGGAGGATGCAAAATATGCTTAAGTGGGATACCCCAAATCCTCTTTGTCCAAATATCTACTCCTTACCCTGTTCAGTAGCTTCATGAAGCCACTCAGTCTTTCCATGGCAGTGGGACTGGCATCCATCCACCATCTACCCATCCATCCATTCACCCACCCACCCGTTCACCCATCCATCCACTGTTTATCTATCGTCTATCCACCATTCACCACCTATCCATTATCCATCCATCCATCCATGTGTCTACCCATCCACCCACCCATCCATCCATTCATCCATCCATCCATCCACCATCCATTCACCCTCCCACCCACGCACCCACCCACCCATCCACCATCCATCCATCCATCCATCTACCATCTATCCACCGATCCATCCATCCACCATCCATCCATCCATCTACCCACCCGTTCATCTTCTTGTCCATCTATCCATCCATCCATCCACCCATCGGTTCATTCACCTATCTGCCCATCTACCATCCATCCATCCATCCACCCATCCACCCATCCACTATCTATCTGTCCACCCATCCCCCATTTATCCACCCATCCCTATCCATCCACCCCTCCATCCATCCATTCATCCATTCATCCACCTATACATCCACCCATCATTCATCCATCCACCCATCCATGTCTCTATCCATCCACCCATCCATGTCTCTATCCATCCACCCATCCATGTCTCTATCCATCCACCCATCCACCCACCCACCCACCCACCCATCCATCCATCCACCTACCCACCCATCCATCCACCCATTCACCCATCCACCTATCCATCCATCCACCCATCCATCCACCCATCCATGTCTCTATCCATCCACCCATCCACCCACCCACCCACACACCCATCCATCCATCCACCTACCCACCCATCCATCCACCCATTCACCCATCCACCTATCCATCCATCCACCCATCCACCATCCATCCACCCACCCATCCATCCACCATCCATCCATCCACCATCTATCCACCCATCCATTATCCATCCATCCATTCATCTTCCTGTCCATCCATCAATTCATCCACCTGTCCGCCCATCTACCATCCATCCACCCATCCACCATTTATCCACCCATCCACCCATTCACCCATCCACTGTCCTTTCATCTACCCACCCATCCACCCATTCATCCATCCATTCATCCACCTATACATCTACCCATCATCCCATCCACCATCCACCCACCCACCATCCATCCACCCACCATCTGTCCATCCATCTGTCCATCCCCCCACTCCTTCAGGATTTATTGAGCAGCACCTGTGTGCTAGCTTGTGCCAGGAGCTGGGTGTACAGAGAGGGAAAGATACCACCTTTCAGTCAAGGAGCCTCAAAGCAAGTATGGGGAACGAGGTGTCTACAGGACCAACAGGCCTGTAGGAGGTGCAGACAGTGTTGGCAACACTGCCCTGCACTTGACTGTAGCCCTCCAGGGCCAGCCCTGGGTCCCCTGTACCCAGTGAGGATGCTTACAGCTCTGGGATACCCAGGGAGCTTGGGGTTTGGCCTTGGGATCGGGAAAGAATGTTCAGATCCCAGCCCTGTCTCTGACTTGGTGGGGGCGTGACCCAGGCTTGTTCCTTGTTCTTGGCTTTCACTTAGCACTCCCTGATGGCTGTGCCCTTGACCACCACACCTAATGGCCATCCTCTTGTTTCCACAGAGTGACTTGTTGGATGTCAATCAGATCATCAAGGACTTGGCCTCCATGGTGTCAGAGCAAGGAGATGCCATCGGTGGGTATCTGTGCTACCCTCTGGACCACCTGCCCCACAGCCACGTGCCCTTTCCCCCAGGTGTAGGCAGGGCTGCCTCCTAGATGAACGAGAGCCAGGGTGGTTCTGGAGGTCTGAGCCTCTGCTGCCCCTCCACTCCATGTCCCCAGGTCTCCCCAGCCCCTCAGGAAGGCCAGGGTTGAGGAGGCTCATGTAAGAGGGTGGTCCACCCATTCTGCTCATTGAAGAGTCTGGGCCTCCATGCCTCCCACCCTGGGCCTTCCTCCCACCCGAGGACTCCCCAGGGTGAGGACAAACTGTCCTGGGTGGGGGAGGGGTCAAGGCTGCAGTGGGTGCCCCAGCAGAGAGGGCTGGACATGGGGAGCCCAGAGCTGCCTGGAGCGGGCTCCTGTCCCTGGTTTCTGTGTTCCCTCCACGTGAGACCTCAGCCCCACCCAGCCTGGTCTCTCCACCCCAGTTGGCCACATGGTTCTTCCTGCTGCTGTCCCGAGGGCCTGGGAGCCCAGAGTGGGGGGTGTAGGAACCATGGTTCTCTGGCCCAGAAGCGTGGGGCTGACTCCTGGTACCAGAGCCACTGGCCAGCACAGTCAGCTCCCAGCTAGCCTCTGCCCGCCACCGCGCCTCCCCCATTCCAAGGTTCTGAGGTCCATGTGTGTCCTGCTCCCCACGGGGCAGCCAGGCCATGCCCCTGGCTGTGCTGCACCCCCAGGAGAGGAAGGGACTGGGGATGGGGGGCCCTGCGGCCTCCCGGGGCTGCTGTCCAGCACGCTTGCCTTTCGCCCTTTCTCAGAGCCTGGGCTGTGTGCAGGGCTGTGCTCGGCGGCTGTGCAGTGGCTCTGCCCCAGCATGCCTCGCGCTGGTCTCCACAGGCCCCTGCCTGCCTGGGCTGCACGTCCTTCTGCCCTGCGCCCCTGTCGGCCTCAGTATGGCTGCTGCAGCCGTTCTCACCTCTGGCTGGCTGTCTCCGGGCGGGGTGTGCAGAGTGTTTTGTCCACTCCAGATGTCACCCGGATGGTCACTCAGTCCCAGTGACAGACTGATGGGGAGGGGCTATCTCCAGGTGCAGGGGGGAAGAGGGGCAGGCAAGGGCTGACTCGTGGCCACCGTGGTCAGGCCTGGGGACCCTGGGACACCTGGAGTGGGACACCTGGGGCCGAGAGCAGCTGAGACCGCAGGACCCCACAGTGTGCTGCTGTGGGTGATCTAACCATGATGGATGATGGGCAGGGGCCCGTGTGCCCCTCTACAGGGACAATGGAGGCTGTGAGCCTGGCGGTGCTCGGCTGGGCCCAGCCTGGCCCGTGTGCTCCCCAGCTGGCCGTGGGCCTCTGCCTGCTCCCTCAGCCTCTGGTGCCTTTCCAGGGTCCGGCAGCAGCAACACGTGCCGGCAGAGCTCCAGCCCAGAGCCAGCCGTGGCGGCCCTGCTGCCCGGGCTGGGCTGTGCGCCCCTGCGGCAGGGCCTCCACTCCCGCACCAAGACGCGCAAGCCCAACTTCAGCCCCCAGGAGACGGAGGTGCTGGTGCAGAGGGTGACACGCCACCACCCGCTGCTGTTCGGGGCGCTACGGGGCACGCCCTCCCGGAAACACCGCGTGTGGAACAAGATCCTGCAGGCGGTGAACGCTCTGGGCTACTGCCGGAGGGACCTGGGCGACCTCAAGCACAAGTGGAGGGATCTGCGAGGGGCGGTGCGCAAGAAACTGGCGGAGCGCCCGCGGGCCCCTGGCCTCATCCTTACCCCTGTGGAGCGCATGGTGGCGGAGACCTTCTCAGCCCCAGCCCCCCTAGGTGAGGGCCAGGCCGCCGAGCCCCTGCCAAGTAAGTGGGCCCCCTAGGCCTGCCCCTGTGCTGGGGTTCCAGTGAAGGGCCCCAGGGAGCAGGACCCTCGGGGAGGGCTGTGAGTCTGACCACCACCCACATGTAGACGGGAAACTGAGCTTGGGGTCCGCGAGGGGCCCACCCGCCTGGGCAACGGAGGAGCTGGGGCTCAGAGTCAGTCTCATCCTGGCCCCAAGCTGGGAGTCCTGGGGGTCCCCCCACCATGACGTAGCACAGCCAAGGGCCTCCAGAGGCTCAGGGAGCAGAGGACGAGGGGCCACGCTCCCCTCCCTGTCCCCACCTGGTGCCACTCTCCTGGTGTGGGGGAGGGGGACCACCCTGACCCCTTCCTGTGCTCTCGTTATGGGGGCCCTTCTCCCTGGGGTCACTCAGCCCCCAGAGCAGACCAGGGCAGTGTCCAGCGGCTCTCAGCTTCCCTGGGCACACTGACCTGACCCGCCCCCCCCCCCCCACTCTGAGCCCATGCACCCGCCTATAGGCCCCCTTATCTGGAAGTTTCTGTGTCTGGTGAGGAAGGCATGGGGTGCTTGGTGGGGTCTTCCCGCTGCACACGGCCACCTCTGGCCTCCAGGGTGGTGCTGGCCTGGACTCCTGGTGCCACCTCCTTCTGCACCTCCTCCTGCTGCTCCTCTTCCTCAAGACACCTCTGAACGTCCTGGTCAGTCTGCTGCAGCGGCTGCGCCCCTCCTCTCGGCCAAGATGGACTCTTTGCTTCCTGAGGAGCTGCTGGAAGCCCCTTGGGGACGAAGCCTGGAGCAGGATCGGCTCTCTCTCTCGAAGGCCACAGCGTGGACCGCAGGATGCAGCCTGCACACACATGCCCCGGCGGACGGCTACAGCACAGTTTCTAGTGGGCCCAGCGGGACATGTGTGCAGTCGCACCGTTCCCTGGGGGCTGGCATTGGTCATGGGCCTGGGAGACGGTGCAGGATAGGGCCAGCCTGTCAGGCCAGGGGAGGCCACCACAGTTTCCTACAGGCAGGGCCAGACCCAGTTTTGGGGCGCTGCAGGGCTGGGTGTGCACACTGGGGTGCCCGACCCACCCCACAAGTCCCCAGCCCTGGAGCCGGGCAGGAATTTGGTGGCTGTGTTGTTCCTGAAGGTCACTGGTGCTTGGCTCAGTAAACTGGCTTATGGAGGGGTCCAGTCTAGTACAGACGTCCCTGTCTGCCCTGCTGGGCCAGGCGCCCCCTTCCCTAGACCCTGCAGCCCCTGGGCTTGCCTCCGTCAAGGCAGCCAACTGACTGGTTCCTTAGTGCTGTGAGCTCCTCCTGGGAGTGTCCGTCCCAGACGGTGCTGATTGTCACTGAGTGACCGAGTGAGAGGGAGTGGCCTGGGGACCAGACCTCCCTGACAGGGCTGAGCTATGGGTCAGGGAGGCGGCTGCAAAACCTGATTTGGGGTGGGGGGTGGGTGGCAGAGACTACTGCTGCAGGTCCCACCAGTTCCTCCGTCTGGGTCAACGCTCGCCTGGCGCCTGGGCAGGGTCAGGCCTGCAGGGGCCTCTCACGGCCGCAGGGGCTGATAGCCAGTTGGTAGAGTTGTGGGGCCTCCATGGGGGGCTGAGTAGGCAGCTCTCTGGCTGTGCCTTGAGGTGCATCCCCCTGCTCTTTGTGAGTGTTTTGGGAGTGGTACCGAAGGGGGTTCTCTTCGGCCCCCCGAGGCCTGGCCTGGAGTCTGGGTGCCCCGTAGTCTCCGGAGCAGAGGCCCTGCAGGACAAGGTCCCACTGAGCAGCCCCTGTGCAGGGCCTGGGGGTCAGCGGAGGGCACCTGCAGATTTGCCCCTGACCAACTCGGGGTCTTCGAGAGGAAGCAGAGGTGGTTCAGGGCTGATGAAGCATCAGGGTGTGCAGGCCAGGTGGTGGGGTGCCGCCTGCCCCCCTGGCAGCCCCTCGGGGAGGGAGCTGGGTCTGGCAGGTGGGTCTGCTTGTACCGTGGCCCAAGGCAGAACTGGGTCTGATCTGGGGGGCGCTCTGCAGGCCAAGCATGTTCATTCTTGGTCTGAGGTAGCCTTTGGCTGTGGGATCGCTTGTGTCTCCAGGCAGTCCCTGGCCATCAGAACTGGGCTCATGGTGTCCCCAGGGCCTGTGGCTCGGTGCAGACCAGACTCGGGCTTTGTCGGAGGCTGAGAGCAGAGTGCTGGCACAGCTCAGGCTCTGTGCGGTTGCCGGACAGAGGCAAGACCCAGCTAGGAGCGTGGCCCCCAGTGCCCGGCACTGGCCCAGACCCTGCCGTCTTCCTGTGCATGGGAGCCGCTGCTCCTGCCCTGTGCGTCCGTCTCTTCCCTCCGGGGGAGCAGGGTGGGGCTGCTGCCGCCCACGGCCTGGGGGTGCGACGTGGCTCCTTGGCACCCAAGCAGGGCCGTGGCAGGAGCAGGGGCCTGGGTGGACACTGGGGGGTCAGCGCTGCACGTGGGGGAGAAGCAGGAGTGCTGCAGCATGAGAAGGGGTGAAGCCCTCCTTCCTCTCCTTCCACTGGGGCTCCGCATGGAGGGGCTAGGCTTCGGATGCGGGGGAGGGAACCCCAGAGAAGACAGCCCCTCAGAGCAATCCACTGGGCAGTGGGCACGCTGTGCGCTGGTCGTGCCTGTGTTCATCTGGGCCTTCTCTGCCGCGGGCCTTGGGCCTGCCGCTCTGCTCAGCTCCGGGGCACCCCGGTGTGTTGTGCTCCAGGGGAGATGAAGGATTTGAATTGAACTATTTCTGCCTCCGAAGTCCTGTGAGTTTGGGGTCCTGTCTCCTTGTCCTTGAAGCAGGAGCTGTGTGTTTGCAGTAGCCGGCAGTAATGGCCGCTGGTCATCGGGGAGAGCGCCTCTTGCTGTGGCCACAGGCTTGCTCCATCTACTGCTACCAGGATCCCTGGTAGCGTGTAGAAGAGGACGCAGTGTAGACGTGTTCTTCACTTGGATTCAAACCCAGTTCCTACTGCGGGTGAATGTCACAGTCTTAACTCACCATCGCTCTGTGTGTCCCGCAGCCTAGCCTTGAGTTCCAAGTGGGTCTGGCACGTTTTCACAGTGCGGCCTTTTTACTGCCAACATCGTGGAGTGGAATGCTCTGGTTTCCTGGGGATGCTCTGGGCCTCGTGAGGGTGGCCCAGCTGTGCCGCCGGTGTCACTGGTCAGGGCTGCGTTGACACCCCCACCAGGCCCATGCCTGAGGCCCCACATTGAAGCCTGAGCCGGTTGGCCACTCTCTGGAGACCACGGGCCAGCACGCGCTGCCACCCAACCACAGACCCAGGCAGGATGGTCCTTATAGTGGCTCCGTGGGACCTGCAGAGACAGTCTCTGTCCCTTTCTTCGAGGCAGGGGCCATCGTCAGGAGCAGGAGGACTGCCCAAGTGTGCAGAGAAGTAACAGGGCCAGGCCTCTATCCGGGCTGGCCTCGGCCCTTTCCTGAGTGGGCTGCCCTTGCCCCCAGGGGCACATCCTGATGGCTTGGTGACCAGTGCCCACGCCAGCCACGTGGCCCAGTGCCCCATCCCTGCAGCCTCTGTCTCTCTGGAGGCTGGACTCCTCACCTGGCCTCCAGTGAAGCCAGCATGGGGTCCTAGTGACCACTGGGGAGGGCAGCGGCCATCCACCCCCCACACCTCTGGGCCTGGGCTCCCTGGGGCTCGCCCTTGGGGTATCCTCAGGGTCACACTCTGTAATTCCTTCTATTGTCTTGATTTGCAGATAGTATTGAAGCCAGCCTTGAGGCTGCGTCCTCGCACACAGAGGCGGCCAGCGAGCTCCTGGCTGGAGCCAGCCGGCACCAAGTAAGTCAGTATGAGGGGACAGCACGGCTGGCCCGCGGCCCCCTCTGTCCCGTCTCCCTGGGAGGCCTAGGCCCTGCCCAGTACTTGGGAGGGGCACGCCCACAGGATCTTCTCTGAGTCAAGGGGGACTGGTGCAGGGGAGGGGAGAGAGGACTGCGGTGTCTGTACCCAGGGTGCCGTGCACCGCCGCCTGCTGTCTGCACCCCTGCTGAGGCTGGAGCTCACGGAATGGATCATGAGTGTGAGCAGGACCACGTGGGGGATCTCAGTGCCATGGGTGCTGGGCACAGCCATGGTTGCCCGGGAGCACACTCACCAACCTGCCTTTCCAGAAAGTTCTGTGGCTTCTCTTTTGCCCAGAAGGGCAAGCTGGGTCTGGTGGTGTCTGTCCCCTTCCTCTGATCCTCCTCTGACTCCCCTACTCCTGCACCAGTTGCCCAAGCACCTGTGCGGCTCGGGGCTGCCTCTGGCCTGGCTCTGGTCTGGAGGCTGGGGTGGACCCTCCCTTCTTGGAGCCATCGGAACTTGGCTTGGGACAAGTTGACTGGCTCAGGGAGTGAGAGCAAATATCAGGCCTTTATTTGCTTGCAGTGGGGCTTAGAGCAGCCCTGGGGACTGACGGCGGGGCCACCGTGCTAACCCGCCGCTGCCGCCATGTGAGCACCTGATCAGGCCAGGTCCAGCTGGGAGGGAGGGCTGGGCAGCCATCCCCCACTCACTCCTCACTCACTCACTGGCCCTCTGCTCCGTGCCGGGCTCTGACACACACAGATGGACACTGTAGAGACTGTCTCTCCATGAGTGGGCATCCCAGGGGGAGGGTGGGGTGGACAGTTCGGTCCAGTGAGAGGTGGGGCAGGGAGAGTTTCCTGGGAGAGCGCACGCCCCATCCTGAAGGCCAGGTAGTAGTTGTCCTGGTAGAAAGGACAGCGTGCTCAGAGGCCAAAGGAGGAGCCACCCCAGGCAAGGTCAGGAGTGTGAGCACTGGGTGGGGGCCATGGTGGGCAGGAGCAGGGCAGAGCGTTCCAGGGAGATGATGCCCTTATTCCCTGGGGTCTCTGGGAAGTCAAAGCTGTGTTGGCTTTTCCTCTTCTCCATCAATGGCCCTCAGTATGAAAAGTCGGGGTGACGGAGGGTCAGCTGCACATGAGAATGGGTGAATGCACCAGGAGAAGAAACAGGCTGCGCCAAGGTCTCGTCTGCAGGATGGGAGCAGAGGCAGGCTGACGTCAACTCAGTGCTCACTGCCTGGCCCATGGCCCCTGCCACCTTACAGCACACTGAGGGCAGCTAGGCCCTCCACCTGGGACCTCTCCACCAAGCTTGGTCCTCCCGGAGTGGAAGGTAACAGTTTGCAAATGACAAGCAAGGCAGACTTGCGAAGCTCAGGGCCTGGCCTCTCTCTGATGGGAACTCTTCCAAGTGGCGGGGCCTGCTGGTCGCCCTGACCAACAGCCGCGTCTTGAGAGGGAAGCAACAAGCCAGCAGGGTGGCTGCCTCCATGAATATCCAGGGCCACCAGGTCGGAAGGATCGGCAGATGCCAGGACCACAGAAGGAAGATGTGACAGTGAGGAAGAGATCAGCGGCAGGAGGAGGTGGAGGCTGCATGGGTGGCCACCTGTGTCCATGGACACCTCATCAGGCTCAGACCCCCTGTCCCGTTCCCAGGGAGCTCATTGGACCCTGCCCACTATCACTACCCCATTTCCATTGCAAAGCAGTAACCCCTGTGCCATAGGTGAAGTGAGTGAGGCTCAGACCCAGGAGGTAAGCCCACAGTTGCTGCCACATAGGAATGTCCTCCCACTTCTCTCCACCAGCATGTTGGGACGTGTCCAGCAAGACAGGACATGGCGCAGCCCCATGTTTCAGGTCCAGGTTTTCCCTGGGAAGTTGGCCAGTGTGCCCCCCACACCCTGACAAGAGGAAGGGTTAGACATCCTTACAGCCAGACAATGGGGATTGGAAGTCCAGAGGAGAGAAGGGTTTCCCAAGACTGCACGGCTGTCAAGAGGCAGAGCTGGTTTTGGACCCTAGGCTCTAGGATTTCATGTCCAGGGCTTTTCCTGCTGCCTTGGGGAAACTCTGGTACACCCTCTCAGCCTCCTAGAACATCCACTTGCTGGAGGAGTGGACCCAGAGATCCATGGATAGGTGCCTGGATGGATGGAAGGATGGATGGATGTGTGGGTGGGCAGAGGCGAGGGCAAATGGATGGGTGGCTGGAGGATGGACAGATGGGTGGGTGGATGGAGGTTGGATGGATGGGTGGACAAGAGGCATGGATGGATGGATGGATGGGTAGACAAGAGGAATAGGTAAATAGATGGGTGGATGGAGGATGGATGGATGGATGGATAGGCGGGTGGACAGAGGTGTGGATGGATATGTGGACAGAGGTGTAGGTAAATGGTTGGGTGGATGGAGGGTGGGTGGACAGAAGTGGATGGATGGGTGGACAGAGCCATAGGTAAATGGCTGGGTGGGTGGAGAATGGATGATGGATGGATGGGTAGACAAAAGTGTGGGTAAATAGATGGGTGGATGGAGGATGGATGGATGATGGGTGGGTGGATGGAGGATGGACGGATGGATGGATGGGTGGACAGAGGCATAAGTAAATGGGTAGGTGATAGATGGGTGGATGGATGGATAGAAGATAGGTGGGTGGATGGAGGACGGATGATGAATGGGTGGGTGGATGGAGGATGAATGGATGTTGGATGCATGGGTGGACAGAGCCATGGATAAAGGGGTGTGTGGATGGAGGATGGATGATGGCTGGATGGATGAATGGATGGGTGGATGGAGGATGGATGGAGGTATGAGTAAATGGATGGGTGGATGGGTGGACAGAGGCATGAGTAAATGGGTGGATGTAGGATGAATGGATGATGGATGGATGGTGGACAGAGCTATGGATAAAGGGGTAGGTGGATGGAGGATGGATGGATGGATGGATGTGTGAGTAAATGGATGGATGGATGTGTGAGTAAATGGATGGATGGGTGGACAGAGGTGTGGGTAAATGGATGGATGATGGATAGATGGGTGGGTGGATGGGGGGGTGGATTGATGGGTGGACAGAGGCGTGGGTAAATGGGTGGGTGGGTGGAGGATGGATGTTGGATGGATGGGTGGACGGACAGATGAGTATAAGGAAGGAGGATGAAAGGAAGAAGATGGGTGGATGATGGATGAAGAAATTGATGGGCAGATAGATGAGTGGGTGGTATTGTGAATGAACAGATAGACAGGATGGTGGATAGACAGGGGCCAGCTGGGTGGATATGTGGACAAATGCCAGCATGGAGGCTGGGTACCGAGGCTTTGCAGTTCCCAGGCTGAGGTTTGGACCTCAGTGTTACTGGAGAAAGACTCAACTTTGAGTCCTCCTATTTTCCTCCTGTGGGTGCTGCTGTCCACCACAGAAGGGCATTGGGAGACCTAAGTAGCTCTGTGTGCAGAGGGCCTCCCCATCCATCATCTCGCTGCCCCTCCAATGTATTGCCCCAGTCATGGCTGCTGGAGGCTGACGTTTCCTGTCTCCCTCCACCAGCGGACGAGGAGGATGAGGCCCCCAGCTGCCTGTGGCTACCCCTGCGGACCCTGGAAGGGCCGAGCCTGCCTGAACCTGACCCCTTGGACCTACGAGGAACTATCCCTGCGCCTACCTCCTCGCCCTCCCCACCGGCCTCCCCAGCCTCCCCAGCCTCGGTGCCCCCTGCAGCTGCATTCCCAGGGGCCCTTGGGCCCTCCCCACCCTCCACTGCACCACCCCCACCCCCTGGGAGGCCTGCGGGGGAGGCCTCCGAGTTTGAGCAGCGGTTGCTGGACTCCCATCGGCGACAGGGTGCCCTGCTCTCCCACTGGTCCCAGCAGCAGAGCGCACTGATGGCCCAGCAGAACCTGCTGCTGCAGAGGCTGGTGGAGCAGAGCCAGCGGCTGGCCAATGGCGTGGAGGCCCTCAACCGGACCCTCGAGAAGCTGGTGGAGGCCTGCCCAGTGCGGGGAGCCTCGCCCCCTGTTGTGGATGGCACCCCTGCTGGCGGAGCGGCCTGTGGGCCCACCAGAGGCTCCCAGAGCAGCCCCCAGGGCCCCCACCCAGGCCTGGAGGTCTTCTCAGGGATGATCCTGAAGGTGGAGGAGGAGGTCTAGGGTCTGGCCCCCAGAGGGCTGCACACAGCAGGGACTCCAGCCCTTCTGGGAGGTGGGCTGGGCGACAGCCGGGCAGAGTTGGGGCCTCGACGGAGCCATCGAGGACAAAGGACACCCTCATAGGCATTGTCTGTGGGGCTCAGTGACATGCAGGGAAAGGCTCTGGGGCCGGTCTGTGGGTCCTGGGCAGAAGTCTACTCAGGGACGTTGTGGCTGGAGGAGGCGGACGGGCACTGGCTGAGCCCAGCCTCCGCTCCCCATCCCGTGCTCTCACCGGCTGCGCTGAGTGCCTTGGAGGCCAGCGCCGGCACCTCCCTGCAGCCGCACACCTGGGGTGCCCTCCGGAAGCCACCTCCTCCTGCTCCTCCTGCTCCTCCTGAATGTGTAGGCTCTGCGGGCTGGCTCCGGCACTTTCCTCGATTCTGCCAAGGGCACCACGTCTCGTGGGCCTGCTGTCATTTCTCCCTGTTTAGATCTGTGGTGTGATAGATACATGGACGTGTATGTGTGACTTGGTACTGTATGGGGGGGATGCCATTTTGTACCTCCTGATTATCTTGCAAAAAAATTATTTTTCTTATATAAGCATAAAATAATGAAAAAGGCAGGAACCGTAACGATGATGCTTGCCAACAAACGAGACAGAGTCCAGTCCTGTTCTCGCAGATGGGCTGTGCCTCTGTGCTCAGCCCCGGCAGGGAGCCCCGAGCACTTGCTGGGTTTTCAGATCTGCTCCCTCTGCGACCTCCTGTGTCGCTCGTCGCGTCCCTCAGGGAGCTGGTGTTCCCTGCCAGCCGTCACACAGTGGCAGCCACACAACTCGGGAGGCTGTTGGGGGCC